CGGGGACGCTTCAAAAGTGTCAATATAACCCCTAAAGAGTAACGATCGTTATATATTTTTTCTTCCTCTCTCTTTTCATGGTTATTCGAGTCCTTTGGCTTGTTTGGACTACCGAACTATCGGCTTGGTCTTCCGAATTTTCTTTTCGCGCCATACTTAAGGTATGGCCTTGGGGCCTCTTTTGGGTATAATTATCTATCTTTGTGAGAAGATAGTTCGGTCCTGACTTCTATGGTATACAGTAGTCCCGCTCTCTGTGTTATTTGTGCTCGCTTTGTGGATTTACTTCGCTTCGCGCCAGATTTGATGTTTTCGCAAAGTTAAGTATTATTTTTATGGTTGTGTGTAGGACACACTTGGTCTCCTTTGGACTTAGGAGTGTGACATGCATTACCATCTGCAGGGTGCACTCTCTTTCACAAGGTCCCAAAACAGCACTTTGTGAAATCAACGTGTCAGAGCATAAAAGGACCACTTCACAAAGAAGGGACACTGCTTGAGAACCCGTAACTCCAGTGTACCATCTAAAGTTTTAAACGGCGTTTTTTTTCTCTCTCTCAGCTAGAAGATCCGTACTTCCTGGGAGAGAGACAATCTCGCCCATATCTTCAAGACCAGTTTACTTTGTCTACCTTTCTACCAGTTTACTTTATCTTGGTTGATTCCTGCCTGACCGTGTGGGTGCTCAGGCAGTCTTCGTGATCTATGCCTTTTTTGGTGTTATTATTATTATTATTTTACTTGGTCTCTGACTTTACATTATTTCTTAAGTTGTATATTTTTGCGCAAGTGTTTTATCCAGTTTATGAGCACTAGTTTTTTCTTAATCTCCATTCTTGGTTGGAGATAATTGGGGTTTGGTGTGTTTTCGTGCTAATACTCTGGTTAAAAGTACTTATGGATTTGGGACGCCACCTTAGGGGTAAAATATGTGTTTGTGATTTTTAAGTACATTCGGTGTTACTTTTCACGTGCATCACGCTGGGATAAATTGGTGAAGCACACAACTTTAACTTCTCGTGACTGTATTCTATGTAGACCTCCCTAGTGGGTGCCACTTGCTCAATAAAATACCATACCGTCATTTGTTCCCAGTCAGAGAACAAATGACATTTGCGACCTCTTAACTTATAACATCACACTGCTGGTTACTCTGATATCTTAAAAGGATAGATTAATCGGAGTAAATTAAGCTTATATTCTAGAATAGATCATAACTTCTACTATACCACCCGCTTCCAGCAGATGGATGCTCAGACCGATGGGAAGAGGAAGAAATCTATGATCTTGCTCGTTTCTTCCATACACATGTCATTATCATGTATAGTATCATTTTTCTTACCATCACCATTTGTTTAAACATTTTTATAATTTTTATAATTGATATTACAATTATTGTCATTAATATTTTTTATTATCCTTAGTATTTTTATTATCCTTGTTATTTTTATTATCCTTATTACTTTTGTTATCATTATTATATTGATTATCATTATTATATTGATTATCACTATTAAATATATATATATTTATGTAAAGAATAACCATTGTAATTTATATGGAATAAAGTATTTTGACTTGACTTTGACTTATTATCTATATTATCATTATTTTAATTATCATCATTATGCTTATTATCATTATTGTCATTTATTATCATTCTTATTATTTTCTATTATCATTATCATTATGATAATAATTATTTTTGCTATATTTCTTATTATCAATATTATTATCATCGATATTAGTTATTATCGACAATAATAATAATAAGATGAAGAATATTGTTATTATTATTATCATTATTATTCTGGCTATTATTATTATTATTATTATCATTATTATCATTATCACTATTTTTACCATTTTTATTGTCATTAATTTTATTATCATTCTCAGTATTACTATTATCGTTATTATCATTTTCATTTTTGAAAAAAATATTAATATTATCATTCTCATTATTGTTATCATTATCGTTATTGTTTTAATGGTCATTGCTATTAACATTATCATTATTGTTATCATTATAGTTATTATCATTATTACATCATTATCTTTATCCTTTTCCTTATCGCTTCCAGTATTTTTTTTCATTATCATAATTATTATTATCATCATTATTATTAATATCATCATTATTATTATCATCATTATTATCATCATCATTATTATCATCATCATTATTATCATTATCATTTACATGGTTATTATAATTATCATTATTGTTATCATTATTATTATTAACGGTATCACTTTCATTATCATTAACATCATTATTAAAATTCTTATTGTCAAGATCTTTATCATTATTATTGTCAGTACCATTATTATCAATAATATCATTTTTATCATCATTATCATTCATATCCCCATTATCATCATTGTTATCATTATTATTACTATCATTGTCATTATTACCATTATCATTAGTATTATCATTGTCATTATTATCATTATTATTATTATAATCATCATTATTGTTATTATTACCATTATCATTATCATTATTAGTACCATTTTCATTATTGTTGTATTATCATCATTGCCGTTATTAATATAATTATTATTATTATCGCTATTTCCATTATCATTGCCATGATCGTTATTATTATCATTATCATTAACAGTATCACTTTCATTATCGTTAACATCATTCTTATTGTCAAGATCTTTATCATTATTATTGTCAGTACCATTATTATCAATAGTTTCATTTTTATCATCATTATCATTCATATCCCCATTATCATTACTGTTATCATTATTATTACTATCATTTTCATTATTACCATTACCATTAGTATTATCATTGTCGTTATTTAAACTACTGACATTATTAAAACTATTATCATTATTATCATTAATATTATTACTAATATCACTGTCATCATCATCGTTATTAGTACCATTATTGTCATTATCATTATCACTACTATTATCGTTATTATCATCATTGTCGTTAGTAATATAAGAATTATTATTATCGCTAGTTCCATTATCATTGTCATCATCGTTATTATTTTCATTTATTCTATTATTATACTATTATTATAATTTCAGTTAGTATTAAATATAGTGATAAAAATAGTAGTGATGATAACAATGTCATTGATAACTGAAATGAAAATGATAATAACGAGAAGTTGAGGATTATTATAACTGTAATAATAATGATAATAGTAATATTAATATTGATCATGACAATTATGGCAATGATGGTGACCATAATTATGATACCGATGATAATAGTCGAATTTACCATTCTTATTATCGGAAATAGTATTGTTCCTAACATTATTATCATTGTCATTATTATCATAAGTTATTATTATTGATATTATTATTATTATTACTGATGTTATTAAGATTACCATTATTGTTAACATTTTATGAACATAATTATTATTATTATTATTTTTACTATTGTAATCATAATTATCGATAGTAATGATAATATAATAATAATTATTAATATCATCATTATTTCATGGTGATTTTCTTTGTTACCACTATCGTCCTTTTCATATTATTGCTTTTGATAGTTATTGTTATTATCAACATATGATTATCATTTTTATAATTATTATTATTATCAGCATATAATTATCATCATTATAATTATTATCATTATAATTATTATCATCATAATTATTATCATTATAATTATCATTATAATTATCATTATAATTATTATCCTTATAATTATCATTATAATTATTATCATTATAATTATTATCATTATAATTATTATCATCATAATTATTATCATTATCATTATCATTATAATTATTATCATTATAATTATCCTTATAATTATTATCATTATAATTATTATCATTATAATTATTATCATTATAATTATTATCATTATAATTATTATCATTATAATTATTATCATTGCCATCATTATAATTATTATCATTATAATTATTATCATTGTCATCATTATAATTATTATCATTGTTATCATTATCAGTTATAGTTACAATACATGTTAACACTTCAATTACCAAGAAAAATGCAATAATTATGATGGAACTTTATTTTGAACTCTACATAAAAGATATCAGGACCATTAAGTAAGCAGAATTATATAAAGAGAGAACATAAATCTATTTTCTATTTAGATCTAAAAAAAATAGTTACCAAAGAAAGAGTTCAGAGAAGGCCAAAAGTGACTGCGACCTGATGGACAATAAAGGAATTCGGAACATTGAGGAATGCTTCAAACATATGAACTGATCTTTTACATTAGAGATAAGATTAAAATTAAATTAAAATTACATTAAAATGCTATGTTATATGATATTAGTTTACAAGCGATCATTAGCATCATCTTTGTTATTATTATCATGATAAGCTTAACCATTATCCTTATTATCATCATTCCCAATATCATTATTAATTTCCTTGACTTAAAGTGGGTATAAATATGGCACACCAGCATCACCATATCTTTAGAAAATATAATGGAATTCTCTGAAGCCAATCAGCAAGAGTAAAACTTCTATCCTCAATATGACTTGCGACCTCATGATTACCCGAGGAACTCCCAAATTTATATATATATATGCATATATATATATATATTCCGTAAGTAAATAGTTAAATAAATATTAAACTTACTATAAGTGAATGAAAAAAAAAATTGTGTTAATAAGGGATTTTCGTTTATTTCATAAACAAGCGTTAGCTTTCAACCTCCAAAATTTAATGACGCGAACATTTAGCAAGCAATCCTTTAAAAGACTCATATTAACCCCTTGCATCATCCAAGCAAACCATAAGGTCTCATATGGACTACTATGGAGACCCTGGGGAAGCCCTTCCCAATCTCCAAGACTAGGGGGGAGGAACATCAGTTCCCTCGCCTTGCCTTCGCCTCTCGTTTAGTCAGAGTTCCTTTGAGCGAAGAGTCTTTGTGCTGACGCCCGAGGAGAGGCACGTCCGGCCACTCTGCTGCGGAGAGCTTACTTGTGCGTATAGTGTGTGAAGCCATGAGGTGAGATCATAGGAGAATTAGGTATTAACTGTCTCCTGCACAGTAAACTTTACTACTTTCACCCTTTCGGCAGTTTTAATGAAAAAGAAAAAAAAAATCAAGGAACATTTAATTTACTTGTAAAACAGGTGGAAATGTAATGTAAACTGCGATAAATAGGCATGTAATAATTGTTTTAAGTAACGAAGCACCAGCAACCATAATCAAGGAGAGTCTAGACCAAATAGTAGCCTCTTAGCATAACATTTACTTCGCTAATCTACCTGAAACTTTCAATGATTTTTATTCCACACCGTGTCCAATTCAAGAAAAATAAAAGTCACAGAAACAATGAAGCTGATGAAAAAATAGACAATAGGTTTCTTGACAAATTTCTGGTTATTTTTCATTTGTATATCAATTTTCTGTATGGATATATAAGTAATAGTACAAAAAAATCGAAATGAGCCTAAAGTGCGGGAGTAGTCAGTTAACCTTGGTCAGTAATACACATGTGTACATATCCATATAAAGAACTGAATTTGCGTATATATGTGTATATACATTCATATATATGAGTGCATTTTTGTGTGATTATATCATTGCAATCGACTGTGGAATGATCCCTATGAGTAAGACCAAAAGGAATGAGGCATATACCAAAAATAAACAATGATATTTCAGTGAATGCGCAGTTTCCACATACATTTGTGAGGGGAACTGTATACGGAGCCCTGCTTAGTGACCCTTCCACCTTGTGAATAACTCATGGAATACGAGGAAACATCAGCAATAGTAAAATGATAGATAGCAAAAGCTAACTGTATATAAATCAGACGAATATGCCGGAAAGATATATTTCGTGTATTTTTATTTCTCATTTGAATGTCGGCTTTCGATCCCAAAACTCAAACGACTCCGACGTTTATCGTCCCTTTTTAAAACCGTATGGCATGCATCGACCCATTCGATAGTCTCACCGAACCCGAAGGAACAACAGCGACCACCTTGCAGACACCTGGGCTAGCCTAGACCCCAGAGAGTGTGTGAAGAAATAAGGTAAGGTCATGAGATTATTGGTTTAAGTATTTCGTTTTCATTAACATATTCAGGCATGCAAATTAGGAGAAGGTAATTAAGTGAACATTATTGCTGTATTAATACACACACACACACATATATATATATATATTGCACATATATGTCAATATATATATTTATGTATATATGTATACACATATTTATACGGACACACGCATATATAGAGTATATATACATATATGTATACCTATATAGTATTAACATGTAATATATATATATACCTATATAGTATTTATATGCAATGTATATATATGTATATACATACGTATATATGTGTGTGTTTATGTATAGATAAGTGAATATTATTACTGTATGAATACGTATATATATACAATGTATGCTATATCTTTCTAGCATTATATATATACATACATATATATGCATATATATACATATATATGCAATAGATACACACCATATTTAACATACACACAAAGGAAGAGAGGAGAGAGGCCGAGATGGGGGGAGAGACCGAGCGAGGGAGAGGAGAGTGGGAGAGATGGAGAGAGGCAGAGAGAGAGAGGGGGGGGGGGAGAAGAGAGAGACCGAGAGAGGAGAGAGAGGGAGAGAGAAGGTGTGGATGAGACATGGAGAGGAGAGAAGAACCGAGATAGGAGAGAGAGGGGAATGAGAGACACGATTAGTTAGGGACGAGACCGACGAAGGATAGATAGGGGATAGAAAAGAGACAGAACAGAGACAGAGAGGGAGACAGATAGGTTATATGTATACCCATATATGAATATATATGGATATGAGAAGGCACTATAGACACGAGATATCATATATGGGATATATATAAATAGATATATAAATAATAATAGATATATATATATATATATATATATGATTATTCACACGTGTGTATACGTGTGTATTTACACATATATACAATATATACTATATCTATCCTTCTATCAATATGTATATATATATATATGTATATATATATATATACGCACGTACACATGCACACACACACACGCATATACATATATATTCACACACGGACACACAGAAATGTATATATATATATATATATATGCATATATATATGTGTGTGTGCATTCATACACAGATACACACGCACAAATGTGTGTGTATATTTGTATATATATATACATATAAGTATATATATATACATACATTTAACAGTATATGCACAAACATATCCGTGTTCATGTACACACACAAATCTGCATACACACTCATGGACCCTTACATATATTGCATGTATTTCTACACATACGTACGCGCACGTCATAAGTATATCCATGTGCATACATATATGTATACACACCTACCTACATGCGAACACAAATTTATACACACCTTATACATGTACGTATGACTATATATACACATATATACAACCATACATATGAACATGGACACGCGTATGTATACTTATGTTTATGAGTACATCCGCAAATATGTATACACCTATACATGTATTTCATATAGATGCACTTATGCACATACACGTATATGTATCTATATACACATACACAGAAATGTACATATCTATATACATATGCACATATATAACATCAAGTACAAACAGGGGAACACGTACATCTTTTAATCTTACACGTAACTATACGCATATATATAACTGTATATACACAAACAAAACCATATACATGTACACAAATACCTCCATACACATACGTGCATATGTGCCCCATATATGAAATAAAATGCAATGTGTATTGCTTCTCTTGTATACACGCACACATGGACCTATACACCTATACACGCATGCACAAGCGCACTTCCTAGCATGCGCGCTCATACTCATGCACAAACGTTTGGGATGCATCTGCATGGCCACACATACGCACTCCATTATAATAAGCCCTATATTATAATGTGCATAAATTGTAGGGTTGCCGCAGAGAGGTTTATGGAAGGAGGCTGGTGCTGTGGAAGGGGAGAAATTAGGATGGTACTGGAATGGGTAAGGACGAGGTTTAGGGTTAGATGAAGTTAAAAATGGGATTTTCTATCTGGCAATTTTTCGGATTTCTCTGTGCATTCCTTAGCGGTTGCTAAGCCGGCGTGCGCCCTCGTCCGACCGCGGCCACGGGTCGCGGGATCAGCGTCTGGCGTTCGTTTCAGGTGCCATCGCTTGACTTCGTTAATACATAGTTTATCTGTATATATATATATATATACATATATATGTATATATATGTATATATATGCATATATATACATATATATGTATCTCTCTCTCTCTATATATATATATGTATATGTATATATATATATATGTGTGTGTGTGTGTGTACGTATGTTTCATAAAGATTACTGCTTACTAAGCAGTGGGTTGATACCTGTTGTAAACATTATTATTAATAATAATAACATTATCGTTGTTATTATTATTATAATAATAATAATGTATGCACGTCTAATATATATATATATATACGTATGCTTCATAAAGATTACTGCTTACTAAGCAGTGAGTTGATACCTGTTGTAAACATTATTATTAACAATAATAACATTATCGTTGGTATTATTATTATCATAATAATAATAATATATACACGTCTAATATCTATAAACATATGCTTCATAAAGATTAATCCTTACTAAGCAGTGGGTTGATACCTGTTGTAAATATTATTATTAATAATAACATTATCGTGTGTATGTATATGTATATATGATAATAATAATAATACTATTATTATCATTATTATTATTATTATTATTGTTGTTTTTATTAGCACTTATGTTAGTTTTGTTATATATATATATATATATATATATATATGTGTGTGTGTGTGTGTGTGTGCGCGTGTGTGTGCGTGCGTGTTGTATGATAATTATCAGCATTTTTATAATATTTCAATTATGAAGAATATTAGCATTATTATTGTTATTACTGATATAATTTTTGGTATAATAACTCTCAATTTCATTGTTTTTGGCACTGATATTGGCGCTTTTGTGATAAAAAAAAGACCATTACCATTGGCATAATATTGGTTTCAGTATTACACTTGATTTTTAACAATTTCACCCACAGATAAGTAGATAGATAGAAGGTTTGTTTTACATACATATATGTATATCATTATCATTAATTACTTCATTGCTGTAAGTGATCATGTAGGAATACGTCTTTTTATTGAAATTATAGTTATTGTTTAATAAATAACATAAATCGTTCATGATCCATATTCATAATCACATTATTATAGTAGTTTATTACTTGGCAATACGTTTCATCACAGGATGACGATGAGTTTCCTCGCCGACTGGATGCCTTTGGCCCCACTCACGGACGAGGAAATTATGGCACAGAGTAGTTAGTATCCCAAAAGAAGAGCTAGCGAAGATATTTCCGAGGATAATTGTATTGAAATTAAGAAGAACCGTTGATTATGCAGATAATGAGAGAGATGAGCGTGAACGACGAGAAAGTGAAACATAAGGTCTTTATTTCCGAAATCATGATGAAAAACATAAATCAAATGCAAAGGACAGGTAACGTGATTGAGGATCGCAAGGGGCATTTGTTAAGAGTGTATGTTGGGATGAGTATTGTCCTGAACAATAGTTCATCTTGTGTGGATCAGGCGTTGCATAAGCAAAGTCTTAAGCAGGATACGCAACCAAAGTGGAAGTACATTGAAACGTTTGCTGTGAAGTACATGCCAGGAAATTATCACAAAGAAAAATATCCAATAGTAATATGAGAGTTCACACAAAAGAAAAGCAATCAGCTGATGAGATTTGTAGCGAGGCCCTCTAAGAAATGTAATCTAGTGAGGCATATAAGAAGTACATACAAAGGAGAAGCCGTTCAGCATGTGGAGATTTGCAGCAAGACCTTCTCTGGAGAAAGGGTACTCTGTAAGGCCACCATGAGAATACATACAAAATGAGAAGCAATTCAGCTG